GGCCCTTCCACTGTGCCATTCCCACCTTGGCATCAGCCGGCCATGGACTCAACCCACCGAAACTGAGAGCCACACACGTCTCTCCTTCAATTGCAGGTAGTGGGCATTTTGTCCCACCAACGGGAAGGAGATACAGCAACCCACGTGCATTAATGCACACCATTTTGAAATGAGGAACCACAGCCCAGGGAGGCTGACTGACTTGTCTGTGGACACACAGCCTTGTGTGGACTGTGGCTGTCAGCACTGGGTGACAGGTGGTGGGGAGAAGTCGTCCCAAGCTCTGGCCCTGCCTGCGCTCCCCGACTCCCTCTGTTCCTGGCTCCACACACCTGCTGGGCCTCACTGCTGGGCCCTGCTCTGTCCTCTGCTGCCCAGGCTGCCCGCTGGCCCCTCTGTAGCCATCCTGGTGCTGCAGACTGACGGTTTCCCGCAGCACCCGGCTCCGTCCCCGCTGAGTCCCAAAGCAGGTGGTTTGCTGCCCTTGCCTGTGCCACCGAGCACCGCCTGGGTGTCCGTCTGTCTGTCTGTCTCCTGAGGAAGCTCCAGGGGCCACAACACCCAAAATTAAGGAAGCAAAATTTTATTTTGCTCAAGCGGGTGGACACTCTTTTATGCATTAATAAATAATTTCACTTCTTCCTTGTCTAGTTTACTAAAAGAATGTGTCCTGTGAAGTGTCACTATTTGTATTTGACAAGCAAAAAACATGCTGAAATTCAAGTTAAAAGTGACCTACCCTGAGTCCTCCTGGGCACAGGGACAGTGAGGAGGGGACTGTGCCCTAGAGGTCAGTTCCAGTGCAGAGAGCAGCCAGACCAGCACAGTGACCCCAGCAGAGGCAGTGCAGTTCGTGTCTCCAGACACTGACATTAAAATTTTCATTTTGCTCTGTTGATTTTTTGGAGTCAGGATCTCACTAGGTAGCCCAGGCTGGCCTTAAACTCACAGGGATCCTCCTGCCTCAGCCTCCTGAGTGCTGGAATTACAGGGCTGCACCACCACACCTGGCTTTGATTTGTTTGTTGTGTTGTTGATTTGTTTTGCCTCTGTGTATATCCTTCAGACTGGCCTTGAACTCGCCGTGCAGCCCAGACTGGCCTCCAGTTCACGTGCCTCCTCCTTCCTCTGGCTCTTGAATGCTGGGACAATGTGTCTGCTCTACCAAGGCCCGGACTGGGGCTTGGATTTTAATTCTCACCAGAGTTCACTACAGCACAAGACAGCACCCAGGGAAGAATGTGTTGTTCATGGGTGACAGTGGCTCTGTAAGCCTCACCGAGGCAGGCAGGACTGGGACCTCTGGCGGTCCTACGGGCCCTGACTGTGGGACTCAATTTCCCCATCTGGAAGTGGAAGGTGGACCGGATGATCTGGAAGCCCCTGGACTGCCCCCGTCTTCCAGCTCCAGAGTCACACTTGGGCCTCACCAGTGGGTCTGTCCTGGGACCGTGGGGCCTACAGGGACCTCGAGAAAGGGCGACCTTGGGTGCTCACACCGTCCCCCTGCAGGGCTCGCTGTCATGGCCACTCCTGGGATGGCCCTCCCCAGACAGCTGACTCTTCCCTGTCCTCTGTTTTGGTGCTGTGTTATCTGTGTGGTGTTAAAGGTCACCTTGGCTTCTCAGTTTACAAATTGCAAGGAGCAACTCCAAATACCGAGCCCACAGCAGGGGCTTCCTTTGAGTGCCCAAGGGGCTGTCAGGGAGCATGAGTGACATTACTGCCCTTACAAACCAGGTGTGGGGTGGCACTGTAATCCCAGCACTCCGGGAGGCTGAGACAGGAGGCTCATGAGTTAGAGTCTAGCCTGGGCCACTTAGCAAGACCCCGCTAAAATAAAATAAAATAAGGGTAGGGATGTAGCTCAGTCAGTACCGAGGCCCTCAGCTCAATTCTCAGCACTAAGGGAAGAAAGAAAATCGCTGTGCAAGCAGCGGCCAAAAGGACTCTAAACTGAGCCCTGTGCCAGGCTGAAGCTGCCACTCTGACCGCGTTCCCGTGGCCTGGAATTCTTACCCGCACTTGACAGCCGACAAACCCAGGCTCGGCCGGGTCCTTGATCAGGACACAGTGACCACAGCGGCATCAGAACCTGGGTTATAAAGGCCATACGGGGCTGTGGAGAAAACCCCTGCCCCAGAGAACCAGAACCAGGGCCCTGTGGACACCAGGACTGGCCATCTGTCCCTGACCACGCCGCCTCTGGTCAAAGTGGTGAATCTATCGGTGGCCGTGAGGGCTGCAGAGACCAAAGAGCCCACGACGGCATGGCTGACAGTGTCCCCTCGCTCCTTCCTGTCGCCCAGCTAGAGTCTGTCGTGAGCTAGAGTCTGGCCAGTGGCGCTCAGGCCCGGAGCATTGGTAAGGACTGGCTCCTGACCGGCCCGCAGGGCCCACCGGCCCACACGGTTGCTCTCCTCTGCCTCTCCTGTCACCTCTCTGTCACCTGCCCGGGACCGGCAGTGCCAGGCACTCAACCCCTCGCCAGCTGTGCCTAGCATTTGCTCTTCCTGCTCTGCGCATGGAAGAAAGAATGTTCCGGAAAGTCAGCTCTGCTGTCTCAGCCTGCAGACCTCCCGGATGGAGTCCTGGATGGAGTCCAGCCTGGCATGAGCGCAGGCTGGACCTCACCGGCTGGGCCCTGCCAGTTCCAGGCTCAGTGCTGGGCGGGCTGAGAGAGCTGTCACACGGCCGGCAGCCCGAGGCTCCTCCCGGGTCTCCCTGACCCGGTGCTCTCAGAAGCAGGCAGGACACTGCACCCTGGAGGGAGGCCTGTTGCCTTGGGGACGGTGCCATCCTCTCCTCCTAGGCACAGCACAGCCAGGTCCCGGAGTCTGTCCCCGGGGACTGGCCTTCAGCCTGGAATGCATCAAAGAATGGCCAGAAACCACATGGCTTTGTCCCTGTGAGCACCAGCCCTGAAGACAGAGCCGGCCCGGGACCTGTGCCACCCGCCTGGGTGAGATTGTGAGGGCCTTGGAGGAGGCTTTGCCCCAATCCTGCAGGTAGGAGGGGCTGCTTAGAGTGTGCCCGGCTGCTGCCCACCATTAGCACCCTCAGCCTGGGCAGGGAGGACTGTCCCTACCTGGAGGCCAGCTGGGGCTCCAGAGCGCTTCTCTGCCTGGCTGTCAAGTGAGTGAGCCTGGGCCTCCCCAGGTGGCCCCGTTGACCCCTGCCAGGTCCACAGCCACCCCTGCCTCATCTCCCCAGCCAGGCTCCCGAACCTCCCCAACCCTAGCTGCCCCCTCATCCCCTCCCTGTCTGGCTGAGGGTGGAGAAGGCAGCTTGGGGGCAAACGAGAGAGACACCTGGTCCAGCCGGCTGATAACACACAGTGGACATGAATGAGAAAGAGGACAGTGATGCCACCCGCAGCCCTGTGCTGTCTCCCACCCTGAGCAGGACCACATGGTCTCAGATGGACGAGGACACGGAGTCCCGGCACTCCTCATCCGTCCAGGCCCTGGCTGCCCAGGACTCTGCCTAGGGGGACAGCAGCACCTGCCAGGACCCAAGCCTAGGCTGCCCCCACCTGTGACGGCACAGCCTGGAGGGCCTAGAGCGAGGCTGTCTGTGGCCCGGAACCCTCACAAAGGATGGTACCGGAGGGCCCACTGAGACGGCAGAGCACTGTGGATGTTCTCCTGGCAAGTGACAGTGCTCTGTGGCCGGATGACAGCTTCTGATGGGCAGGAGGTGGTGTTCACGGTGGGTGACCACAGCCCAGCAGCAGGTGACGGTTTGGGGGTGCAGCTGGGAGCGCAGAGTGCTGAGGAGGGTCCTGGGGACTCTAGAAGGAATGGAGTCCAATCCTGTCTTCCATGATGACCGGGGACAGGATGGCAGGGACACCGGGTCACCTGGGCGATGGGCTGGGAGGGACATGGGCCCAGTGTGGTCACAGGAGACCACGTGAGTGACAGGGCCCCACGGGGCTATGGGTCAGGCCACACCCCCCCCTCCAGGCCTCAGGCCATGACAGCTGGATGTCCTGCCACAGAAGCGGTCAGCTGCGGTCTGCAGGCCGAAGCAAGGACTCCAAGAGACCACAGACCGAAACCTCGGAGGCCGTGAGCCAAAATAAACCTCTCAGGCTGCCGCGCTGGTCACTCGGGGGTTCACCACGGTGAGGGAAACATGGGCGGTACAGGGGACACTGATGCGCAGGCCACAGCAGTCTCCTTTCTCCCGGCAGCCAGCGCTGGGGACAGGCCGGCAGGAGGGGCCTGGCTCACCTTCAGTCCTCTGGGGCCACCGCAGAGATGATGCCTGAGCCTGTCCCCTGCCTGCTTCGCTGCCCTGCCCTGCCCAGGCCTGGCACAGCTCTTTGGGCCACTGGCTGGGCCTGCCCAGCCTTTCACAGTGGCTGAGGTCACCTCACCCAGCATGGCGCTGAGGGCATCTGACCCTGCTCCCCAGTGCCCAAGTCAGCCTCGCTCCTAGGATGGCACAGAAATCAACCTTCTCCTCCCCTCCTCCTCTTCCTCCTCCTCCTCTTCCTCCTCCTCCTTTTCCTCCTCTCCCAATTCGAGCCCTCCCCCAGCCACTTCCTCCCGCCCATTCTGTCCCCGCCCCTGGGGATTTGGCCCGCCCACATCGCCCATCTTTTTCTTCTTCTTCAGACACAGCCTCATACCCAGGCAGGACTCAAACTTGCAGTCCTCCGGGCTCGGCTTCCCTGAGTGCTGGGATTCCAGGTGTGCACCCCACAGCTGGCTTCAGCATGTCTTTCTAACACCCCTGTGCCTCAGCACCCTGGCCCAGCATCGCTGTCCTGGAGCTCCCATCCCTGGCCCCGACCTGGGCAGTGCCAGGCCCCTGCAGACGCTCTTCGTCCATCCGACTCCCTGGGCAGCTATGACCCATCCCGGCCTCCATCAAGGCACCCTCTCTTAGGCAGGGGCACCTTGCAAGCCGGACCTGGCACCTGCCAGCCATCCATGACGGCCTAGAGTGGAGTCCAGTCCCCGGGGCTCAAGGAGCAGACCCTAGAAGGCTGCATGTGAAAAATTTTTAATATGCTGAAGCACATTTAAAATGCATTAGGAAAGCAGGCTATTTAAATGGAATCCCACGGGAAATCACCCTCTAACAAACTTCTCAATGGGAATCGCCAGTCCCAGATCACAGGGTGCACAGCGCCCCCCGGCTAAGGAGAACCTCTCACAGGACATTCTACCCTGCGGAAGCTCCGTTCCCAGGGCAGGCCTCATGGCGAGGGACAGTGAGGCCCGGAAATGCAATGCGGTAGTAACTAAAATGACGTCAGGCGGCCCAGCGACCAGGAGGAAGTTTCTAGATGCCTTTGCTGGAGGTAAGGGGTGGTGGAGGCAGGACCAAGATTGGTGCCCGAGTTGCAGGACTGTGTGCAAAATGAAAACGGGCCTTATAGCGATTCGAAAGTTTAAGGTAATGACAGTGATAAAGCAGGGTGGGGCCTTTGTCAGTGCCGGCGCTGGGCAACCGTACAGGTCGCACATCCTGTCTTGCAGCAGCGCCTGTTTCCCAGAGCCCAGGAGAGGAGGCGTCCCGGGGCACTGGGAGCTGCCTCTGCGGCCTTCGGCACACGCTCCTGTGACCCTTAAGACTAGAGCGTGCAGCCAGGCAAGGACGAGGATGTGGCCCCCAGCTGGGGACAGCTCAGCGCAGGTCCTCCTCCTCCTTCTCCTGTGCTCTTCCTCCGAGTTCCTGTCCCGCGTCACCGTGCTCTGCCCTCACCACCACCAAGCCCCAGGGAGCGGCTTGGAGAAGCTCTGGCTCGGCTAAAATAAGACCAGAGAGACCGACTTTAGGGCCCTGGAGAGCCTTTCTGTGTCCCTTTGTTTCCCATGACTTCTTTCTGTGTCTCCGGGAGGCCGTGTGTGCTCAGGTACAGCCCGTACGTCACGGTGCTGGTGGCTGTCACGGACCTCATGGCCTCCTGAGCACACACCGGGAAGGGTGTCACGTCCACCGGGAAGGAAACCGAGGCCCAGAGTTTGGACTACCCTCCTCCCCCAGCAAAGGGGGCTGCCCCTCCTGACGTCTCCCCCCTCACCTTCTAAGGGGGAGGAGCACCCCAGTCCTGGACGGGACGGGCTGAGGTCCCGGGGGCCCAGGTGAGTTGCCCTATTAGCGTGGCCAGCGGGTATCATCAGAGGGATCCACCCTGTACATCAGAGCACTGGTGTCACATGTCTTCTTAGGCAATGTCCTCTGTGACACCAGGACTCAGTTTCCCCTGGCATTACGCAGGGGTCAAATCCAACAGCCAGCGTGGTTTCTCCAGCTCCAGAATCCCCTTTGGAGCTCTTCCACTGAACTGTAACTCACATCTTGGAGCTGCTGCTTTGTCGCCCAGATGGAGGCATCTTCTGTCTCCCCCTGGGGTGCTAGCTGCTCCACCCGGCCCAGGGGACCCCCTCTTCTTGCTCACAGTCATTACGGGGAGACAGAGTCAGCAGCCCCTTCTCAGGGGAGCTCCCTTTCCTGGCGATTTATCAAAATGTTAGTACGTGAGAAGCCCTCGGCTGCACTTCCCAATCTGAGGACTGTGTGATTATCCGCCCCCGTGTTTCCCTGACCTCACAGCGTCTTACTTAAAACAAAGGCCTTTTTTTCCCTTCCCCACAAAACCAACTTATCTGTAGATTTTGAAGGACGGAGTCTGCATCTGGGTTCTTTTCTGCTCACTGAAAAGCCATTTAATCCCAGCACAGTCTACTCCGTTCGGATGAGGGTGAGGACGCGTTTCTGCTCCCGTCTGGGTCTAAGGGATGCTGGTGGTCAGAGTGTAAACAGAGTTGCTTTCGTCAAGCCCCAACCCAAAAGATAAAAACAGGCAGAGCCGGAGGCCCTGAGCCACGCAGGCCTCACTGCCACACAGCGATCCTTACACAGACCGTCAGGGCCACACCTCGCCACCTTCCACAAAGGCACTTCTATTAATAAGTAAGAATCTCTCTCTCTCTCTCTCTCTCTCTCTCTCTCTCTCTCTCTCTCTCTGTCTGCCTCCTCCTTTTCTCTCTCTCCTTCTCAACATCCTGGAGGGTGAATCTTGGGCCTTCACACTGAACTACAACCCTTAAAGTGTTTTTTATTTTGAGACAGTCTCACTAAGTTGCTAAGTTTCCCAGGCTGAGTTTGAACTAGGAATCCTCCTGCCTCAGCCTCTCAGAGCGCTGGGATTACAGACGTGTACTCTCACAAGGACACTTAGGGTGTATCGAGGGTGACCTCATCTCAGGAGACCCTTAGCTACATCACATGTGCAAGCACCCTTATCCCAAATAGGGGCACAGCCACACTCTCCAGGGGGCAGGCAGCGGGCGTGGCTTGTGGGCAGCCGCCATCCCCCACCCCAGCCAGTGAGGTGCAGGACTTGAGCCGTATGAGCCAGGGAGGTGGGCAGGGGCTGTCTGCACCTGGCCACCACTCCCCACTCAGACAGGAGGGGGACAAGCCACAGCTGTCCCCATCTCCCCTGTCACCTGAGGGTGGGCGTCATCAGCAGCAGAGCCGGCGGGAGGGCAACGTGAATAAGGTCATCCTGGGCCTGTGGATCCGTGCATCGTGGGCAGGCGGGCCTGCTGCTGATCTCACGCACAGTCTGAATACTTCTATGACCTTCCAGAAGCCGACTGACTTCTCTGGGGTGCACACCTCTCTTGTCTCTCTCTCTCTCTCTCTCTCTCTCTCTCTCTGTCTCTCTCTCTCTCTCTCTCTCTCTCTCCATCTCCTTCTGCTCAGATAGTAACTTTGGGCTTGGGGCTTCTCGATGTTTTCGAAGCTGACCCTGGACGGGCCACAGCAGTAATTAAACTGCCACAGTAATTGCCACTGCTAGGCGAGCTGGCATTATTTCAACCCCGAGGTGGAAGGGACCTTTTCAAAGTGCAAGGCCTCGTTAGGTAATTCAGAGCCGCTCGCCCTGCAGCGGTCTCCCCTGCACACACGCGGTCTCCCTGCCCACCTACATAGAGCCAGCCCCTGCTCTGCAGGCTGAGGTCCTCTGCAGCGTAGAAGAGAGGGGAGCGGGGAGAGGGGCCCCCAAGGGGCGGAGTCCCAGCTCAGGATCTGCTGCTCTCTCACCTACTTCGCTGAGTCTCTGGTTTTGCTGGTGCTGCGGCCTCGATGTCCTGAATCCATTCAAAACGTTCACTTTTCACGTCATTTTGACTTTGGGGAGGAGCCAGAAATTACACAACGTCAGATCCTCCGGTGAACACGGCGGCCGAGGACACAGGATTTTACTGGGTTTGTTTGTTTTTGGTTTTTTAGGGTACTGAGCTACATCCGCAGCCCTGCACCGTATTTTTCGAGCCTGCCTGTCTGTCGGCCACACCACCGGGAGACACACCGGGAGGACTCCAGGACTGCTGCAGGAAGCGGCCAGAACGACAGGACGGGTAGGTTTGAAGCAAAGGGGAGCGTTAACAGGAAGCACCGCAGTGAATTCCAGCTGCTCTGTGCTTTGATCCCTCCGTACACAAAGCCCACTAACGAGTCCTGCAGTCATTTCCGAGGACCCGAAGGAGACCTGCACGAGGACCACAGGGAGGGACGTGTGGACACTTCCTGGGCCAGTTCCGCCTGTTCCTGAAATGTCCCCTTGCCTTAAACACACAGCCATGATGCTGGGGGGGGGGAGCAGTGTCTTCGAGGTGGTCCTGTGGCCATGCTCTTGCAGCGAGCTGTCCGGACCCGGACACAGCGAGACCCTTGGGGGGCTTCTTCTGCACCCCTGAGGCCTAGGGCAGGTGCGAAGACCACAGCCTTAGGGGAAGAATGGAGGCCACCCAACATGGGGCAGCCTCTCCTGGCCTGCAGGGGGCCAGTTAAGGATCATTCACACCCATCATGCTGGAGACCAGCAGACTTCCTGTGTCCCGGGGGTGCCACGAAGATTACGATCCCACAGTAGGACCTCACTGTGGCTCAGAGCTGACTTGTGGGTGGATGAAGGGGCTTGGACCATGGGACCCGACCTCAGCCGTGGATTCATCTGTGTGAGCTCACAGCCGAGGGAGCCGGGGCCTGGCCAGCTGCTGTCCCTGGAGGTGTGACCGGAAAGCCTGGATCTCCCTCCCGGCTCCTCCGGCTCCCTCTGCTTCCTGGCTGCCCTGTGGTCCTCGTGGCTTCAAAGCCAGGCAGCCACGGGCTGAGACTGAGTCACAATAAACCCCACCCCTGTCAGCGTGGGGGTTTAAGTATTGTGTCTCAGCCACCGGACAGTGATTGAGACCACTGCGGAGCCCAAGCAGCCACCCTGGGACACAAGGACCAGGGAGCAGGGAGGAAGCAGCAGCACCTTCCACTCTGCTGTCCTGGGGAGGGGACAGGGAGGAGCAGGGAGGGTGAGGAGACACAATTAAAGCCACTTGCTAGCAGGGCAGGGCCTTGAGTGATTCGGACGCCCTGGGAGCCAGGAGAGACGCCCTGCAAGAGCTCACAGGCCTAAGAATAAAACTGGCAAAACCTGAGTCTCTTTACGTCCTGAAGACATCCTGCCAGGCTGCAACGCAAAGCAATCAAAGAAACAAACCCCGTCAGCCCTCGCTTTGCTGGATTTCCCATCGCGTCACCCTGGAATCAGAAGGGAAGGTGGTATTTACATCGAGGAGGTAGACACTGGCTTTTAGGGAGCAGAGAAAAACAGGATCAGGAATGGTGCCTGGGAAACAGTCGTTGCTTACGGGGCCTCAAAAATAATGCCGCTTAAGTGCCTGCCTTGCAAGCAGGCAGTAGTGGGTTCGATCCCCGGTACCGATAAAAAGAGAAAAAGACAAAAAAATAATAATAATGCCTCCAAGGGGAGAGGCACTCAGCATGGGCCCACAGAACCAGCCCTGGGCGTCAGGTGACAGGTGAGGCCTTTCTCCTCCTTATGTGAGTGGAAACTTCCCTTTATGAAACATGTTTTTAAAATCGAAGACTTTATTCTTGGTCGGAATTTTTAAGTACTAGGGATTGAACCCAGGGCTCCACATGAAGCTGCACCTCAGCCCTTTTGAAGTTTATTAAAAGTCTGAGACAGGGACTCCCTAAGTTGCTACATTGCCCCAGTGAGTTTGCGATCCTCCTGTCTCAGCCTGCCAAGAGCTGAGATGGCAGGTGTTCATTGGGACTTTCTGTAAAGGAGGCTCGGGGGTGAGGGACAGGAAAGGAAAATTTACATTTCCCATGTAAATGAGGAAGGAATGCACATGGGACCCGAGAGCAGCCTCCTCTCCAGGTCTGAGCAGCTGCCCCTCACTCCTGGCTCCGGGGGCCCTCGGGTGACAGCCGTCCCCCCTCCACCCATGGTGGCTGGCTCAGAGTCCTGCCATGCGCTCGGCCTCCCATGGAGACCCCTGAGAGCAGGTCAGAGGCTGCAGCCTAAGCCCAGGCCCGCACCCCCGCTCTAAGGCTTTCTCGGAGCCTGAGCTCGTTTCATGACTGTGCAGGCCTCAGTTCTCCTGCACACAGACTGCAGGCAGCAGGCACCCACCACTCAGGTGGCAGTGAGGGGCCACAAGTTACTTCTTATACCCTGCCTGGGCCAGAGCTTATTATCAAGAGCTCAGCTGGCTCTCGTCATCCGTTTGTCCACTGTAAGTAGTGAGATCCTTAATCATGATGTGTCTGCTAGACTGGAGGAAGAAACTCCTAGGAGATCGGCAAAGCACGGCTGTGGGTCTGTCTGGGTGATGGAAATGGCAGCCTTGCAAACGGGGACAACCCTTCCCAGCTGTGGGTGGCACCAACGAATAGGCTTGTAACGTGGGTGGGATAAAAGGCAAGAAGGAGATGTGGGCTCACGCCAAGGTCTGCCATAGGGACGGGCAGTAGTTTGCCCCCTTGAGCCATGACTGCTGAAGCCTCTGAGTGCCCGGTTGGCTGGACTCGGGATGTCCTGAATGAGCTGGGTGCCCTCGTGCCCTCTTCTCAAAATAAACTCTTTCAGAGCAATTTAGCCTTTCACACTCTTGAGCGGTGAAGGGTGGGATCTGGTCAATTCCTGAGGTGCCTTCAAGTCATCTGTCCTGTTGTCCTCATGCAAAGTACTTGGCTTCTTTTTAATGCTAGTCTTTTCGGCAGCCAAGCTGTCCTTGACCCAAACTTTACAGATGCTTTCATTCTGGTGACACGACAAACTGTTCACGTCTTTCAGCCCTACTTTTGCTCCTGATCGTCACTATGAATCTGCCTAAAAACAGCCAGCAGCACTCACATCACAGCCTGAACATCGGGCTTCCTTGAAATTTCCTCCACCAGCTTCTTTGCCTTTAAATTCAGCCTCATATAAAGTCTTAGGACACTGACAAAACCTAGACAGATTCTTTGCTAAAATGAAACTCACATGGCCTCTGCTCCAGTTTCCAATAGAGTTCTCATGCCCGCCTGAAACCTTCCCAGCCTGGCCTTTACTGTCTGCATTCCTATCAGCGTTCTGATCTTCTGAGCTCTGACCAGAAGCTCTCATCTACTTCTGCTTATGTGGTTTCCCTAGCCTACATCTCCAAACCTTTCCAAACTCCTCGTGCAAACCAGTGCCAAAGCCTCCTGAGCCACACAGTCAGGTATACTCACAGTAAAACCCCACTCCTAGTACTGATTTTCTATATTAGTGAGCTTTTTCATCACTGGGATGAAACACCCAACACTTGCAACTTAGAAGAGGAGAGGTTTATTTTGGCTCAATGTTTTCAGGAGTTCAGGCTGCGGATCACCTCTGAGGTAGCTGGTCAAAGAAAAGCTGTTCCCCTCCAAGCAGCCAGAAAGCAGACAGAAAAGAGAGGAGCCAGGGACAAGAATGCATCCTTCCTGGTTGTGTACCCCCATCACACCCAGTGAAATTCCCCCTCCTAACAGCATTTTTAGCCGTGAATTCATTGATGAGCAGCATAACATCCCACCTTTAGAGAAATGAGGCATTTGGGGGACATTTTAGGTCTAAACCATAGCACGAGCTATTGGTGTGTGTCTGTGCAGAGTGTTTATATGTTGTATGTGTGGTGTGTGCATGGTTTGTGTGCAGTTAGTATGCCATGTGTATGCAGTGTTTGTTTAAATGGTACGTATGGCACATGTGTATTTGTGTGACGTGTGTGTGTGTGTGTGTGTGTGTGTGTGTGTGTGTGTGTGATGGGGGGAAGCTCAGTGGTCCCCAGCATGCGAGTACAGAGAATCCAACAAAGCTGCTGGTATGGGGTATAAACACCAGGTTCTCAGAGCTTCTTTTTTCTCAATTTTCAGAAAAGAAAGAGTGTAAACACCAGATACAGTGTTTCATGTTCTAAAGATACCGACCCGTGTAAGGAGAAGGATGAATCACAACAGAGAAGCATCAGGCTGTATAAATAACACGGGGTTGTTGAAGTGTGAGTCCTGCACCTTCAGCCTGGCCCCGTCACTGCATCCACGAGGCCAGTCCCTGGGACTCCTGCCCCTGAGGACTGGGATGGGCAGCAGTGACCCCTAGTTTCTCCGTGGTGTTTTTTCTGAAACTGGCCTCAGGTTCCCATGATGAGACTGTTTGCCCAAGTGGGAACAGGGACCCCAAAAGCTAAGCCCCTGTATGTTTTAATACAGGTACAAGCATGCAGTGATGGGGACCCACTGACAAGCACAGTGAAAGAGCTTTGACGGGTGCACACAGCTGTGTGACGCACACACCCACCGAGATCTAGAAACTTCCATCACCCCCAAGAGTTCCCTGAGCTCCTCCACACACAGGACAATCACCGCTCTGATTCTTTTTCTTTTACTTTTTTACTCTCAAAGGCCCAGCTGTGGCTACTGTAATTGGAGAAGTGATTCCATGCTGCCTCAGTCCTGGTTGGCATCCTCATGGATCTGCTCTGCCTGTGTTCCTGGTCTCCAGCTCAGGGGATGGCACACCTGCTCTCTCCTGTCCAGCTTCTCCTGCCCCACCTGACTTCTGGGAGAGTCACCCAGAGTGTGAGCACAGTCAGATGCTTCATAATCGTGTTCATGTTTTCCCACCTGATGGCTGTGAGTCTGATACTCACAGACCCTGTGAATGCAGATTCGGGAGCACCCAGCACTGTTCCAGTCACAGGGAATCCCTGACTGAGGGGCTCTTGGACCCTGGAACCTGAGTGTGAACCCATCCTGCCCCAAATCTCTGTTGGCACAGCCCACCCACTGCTCTGCTCGGAGCCAGGAGATGTCAGGGAGCAGACCCCACACACAGGCTTCCCGTCCCCCAGGCTGTCTCTCTCTCATGCACACACACACACACACACACACACACACACACACACAACACCTGCTAACACGGTGCAGTCACCTGCCACAGAGGAATCTGGGCCATTTATCTAATGCCTCTGAGTTCCAGTTCCTCCTGGGCAGGACGAGGATCTCAGGGCTGCTGTTCACCGCTCAGGGGACCAGGAGAGACTCGAACCTGGCTTGCAGTTGGCAGCAGTGGAAGAGACGTCAGCTCTTGTCCGTCCTCGAGGCCGCACTATGCCCGCTTTAGAGCTGTCACTCACCCGCACCTTTGCTCCCGCCACCTCTCGGCTCCTTCCCCACCCACACCGCTCTGTCTCAAACTCTCTGTTTCTCCTCATGTGATCAGCCTCTAGTGGAGCGCATTAGTTCACAGTAGGACGGCTTTGCAGGCTCTCTACTACCAGTTATCAGTCCCTTCAAATGGTCCTGATAACCAGAAATTAAAAAATAGCCATGTGTGGGGTAGCACAGCTATGATCAGTATGCAGGAAGCAGAGGCAGGAGGATCACAGTGAGCTTGAGAGCAGCCTGGACTACAGAGTTTAAGGCCAGCATGGGCTACACGGTGAGACGTTTTCTCAAAAAAGAAAAAAGTCCCACACTAGGTCTTACAGTACAATGTAGGGCCTCCGCCCAAACCTCCCAGTTTCTCTCCAGGAGGAAGGCAGAACTGCTGGGTGACCCCGGTGTGTGTTTGTCACTTTCTCACCCCTGGGATATGAAAGCGGACGTACACAGCTTACAGAAGAGTCTCGTTTGGCGCATGGGTTTGGAGAATGCAGTCCGTGGTCAGCTGGCAGCCAAGCAGGGAGGAATGGGGAAGGGTCTGGCGGAGGAGAGCTGCTCACATCATGGTGACCAGGAAGCAGAGTGAGAAGGGAGGAGTCGGGGAGACTGTCACATCCTCCCAGGTCACATGGCTCGTGACCTCCTCCTCCAAACAGGCCTAGGCTCCAGCCACACAGTCAGCTGTGAACACCTGGGTGGATTGAGCCACTGATAAGCCAGGATCCAGCACCTTCCAGAAGGTGACTCCCAGTTGGCTCATCTCTGGAAGGGGCAGAGTCTCTGCCTGTTTTACCCAGGGCACAAGTGTAGCTCAGACAGGCTGAGACTCTTCTTCCAGTCCTGGGGTTATGGAGCTCTGTGAGCCGTTCTTTGACCCTTTTTGATGGTTGCTGGCCCCTTGTGGCTCATGGCCACGCTGGCTGGGGTGCTGTCCCAGAGCTGTGCATGCCTGACATCTGGGCACCCTAACTTGTGTCCAGAGCTCCTGTGATTTTTCCATAAGGATGGAGGCTGAGCTCAGCATGGGGTTTTCGGTGGGGATTGAGACTGAAGCACAGTTAGCAGCTCGGTTCCTCCGAGTTGGGGACCCAGAGCCATCAGGTTCCAGCAGTGCATGGTGCAGCTCACCTGCAGGCCAGGGGTGGACAGAAGCCCGGCCAGGTGGAATCTCCTGGGCTTTAGCCATGAAGCCACATCTGGGGACCCAGGAACAAGGAGAGCCCTGAGAGGCTCCGAATTCACGGGAAGCTTCATCTCTACACAAATAAACTGTCACATGCTCACTTTGCTCACAGGCAGCGTTATCCTGGGCCAATTCTCCTTTTCTCTCTCTCCTGTTGTTTTCTTGGAAAGTTTGGGAGGTGGGTGGTGACATTTTCGGCTGCTATTTTCATGTATCATTCTTAGTCACTGTGGGCAGCTTGGAAGCCAGGAAAAAGCCCTCCCACTGCCTCGGGCTGGTTATTCCCAACTCCCCTGCCTGCGGAACGAAGTGGCAGGCACATCCCTCTTCCGGGGGCCCAGAAAGCCGGGGGCCATAGCAACGCCTCCAAATCAAAGGTGTGGGCTCCACAATAGTGCGCACCCCACGTGACACCTGACCTTTCCAAACACCCACCACTCAGCTCCCCACGCCTTCCAGAACCTTTCGGGACAGGACATAGCAAAGATCGGTCTTGAACACCCACAAAGATGCCCAGACCCAAACCCGGAGTCCCACTCTTGTGTGAGCCGCTCCGGGGTTCGCTTTGGTTTGGGCTCTAATTTAGCAGTGTGGCTCTTCTCCCATTCGGCAGATTAAAAGCAACTCACCCATGAAGTTTGGCCCTGTGCACCTGGTGGGGAAGGGATTGTAATTAGTGCAGGGAACCTGGAGGGACCCGCCCGGACCCCAGATTTCCATAATCCCAGCACAGGCGCAGCCAGGGAATTTCCACCGTGATGACGCGGCTTCTTCATCTCCCAGCGCTGGGCCGACCACACAACACGCCCCCCCCCCCCGCCTTGTTTTCTTTTCAGGGGCTCACAGCCCGCCCCCCTATTATTTTTTCCTGCTCTTTTTCCTTCTTTGTTTCCCTGGAGGGTGTCCCTTGGCTGCCGTGGGTTTGTCTCCTGTGACACAAGCTCCTCCATTCACCACCGTTTTCTGAGTAAGTGCAGGGAGCCATTCCAGTCCCCGGGGAGGAGGCGAGGCCCAGGGCCAGGGCCTGGTCCAGCTTGCTGTGTCGGGTTCTGAGATGTGGGGGCAGAGCCCCACTGCGGGTAGCAGCTCTGCCGGGGATCTCAGATGGGGTGTGGGTGACAGAAGCCAGGCCGGGTGGGACACGGGGAAAGCAAGGCGGGACGCAGACAGACAGGAGGATGGACCATGGGGAAGAGGCCAGGCCACAGGGACACTGGGGACAGGAGGAGGGCCACCACCATGCGATGAGGAGGCTCTCGGGACCGCGATGCTGACATCGGCTCACAGCTGGAGGGAGGGAGGCCAGCAGGTAAACTGGGGCGTCGTCCCTCACTTTTCAATGCTGGGGTGCAACGGGAAATCACCCGGCCTTGGCACTGGCCACCAGGCGGAAAGGCCCAGGGTGTCTCTTGTCATGCTGCACCCAGCTCTGCATCTTCTGGGCTCCTGCTGCAGGCCCAGCCCAGGGGGCCCGCTGTGTCCCCGCCCCTGAGTGGGACCGCTGTAGGTGACCGCCTGATGGGGATGGAGGCGGTGAGGCCCTGATACCTGCTCCCCAGGATGGGGCAGGGAGGGGTCCCCCTTCTGTCTCCTGAGTCAGCAGCCTCCCTCTGATGGCGCCCAGGCTTTCCTCCTGGCTCAAGTCAACCCTGGCTACAGATGCGGACTGTGGTCAGGCCGAGGGAGGGGACTACCCCTCCCCCACTACACCCCACCCAGGGCCTCAAGGGAACCTGCTTCACGGGAGCGAAAAAGAGGAGAGAGCTCAAGGTGGCACTCGGCGTGTGCCCAGCACTGCTGGCTGCCGTGACAGAACGGCAGAGCAGGGCTCAAGCCCAAGTGGCAGAGGCCTCTGGCCTGAAGCCTGCGGTCCAGTCTGGTCAGATGTGCAATGCCTCCAGGCCTCCACGTCCTCCTGTAAATGACCCACACGCTGATCAGGAGGGAGGGGGAGGCAGCACAGAGCGCATCACGGGAGTGCGGCTGGGGAGACTGAGTGAGGATGGCCAAGGGTCACTGCAGCCCACACCACCTACTGCCCGCCAGAATCAGGGACCACGAGGCCGTATGGGTACCAGCCCTGTGCCGGCACAGAGGTGTGGGAAGCGGGGCTGGCCAGCTGATCGTCATAATCACATGACAGCCGAAGCCCGCCCTGGGGTCCCTCGATGACCCCTGGATGCAGCCCCTGCCAGAGGCGAGACCCAGCATCTGTCACAAGTCAGGCCAATGGGGCTAGGCGGTTGAGGGGGGACAGCCACAGCTCCAGATCTGCGCTTGTGTGGTCCTCGGGGAGCCATGGCCACCCTCCAGCCTCTCCAGGTCCATCTCCCCCACAGGCTCCACTTAGATAACTGAAGCATCTGTGTCCCCAGAGCCACTCCCAGGGCCAGTGGGGACCCCGACTCAAACAGGCGCCCCGGGAATCTGCTGCTGCTGGTGTGAGCGCTAGTCCACGTGCTTGGGAAAGCGCCGAGGAAATTCCACCCCTGGGGACCTGGTGAGTCCTCGCTCGGGCGTTACACGGGACACGGGACAGACCAGTGGGTGCGTCCACAATGGCAGGTGCTCAGCAGCTCCCGTCACAGCAGGAGAAAATCTGCCTCCTGCTGTGGCTTGAGTGTGGCCCCAAGAGTTCACGTGTTGGAATCTCACAGAAAAGCGAGCCCTGCTGTGGTCTTCCTGCCTATGACACAAACCTGCAGTAAAGAAAGTTCCTTCCGAGCAGAAGCAAAGCCTTCGTAAAAAGGAGGGAGAAAGGGGGTGAAGGGAGGGGTAGCACTGTTGGGAGCCGCGGCCGAGCCCGGTCGCCTTACTTGGCGGACGTGAGGCCTGTAGGAAAGAGCAAAGCCTGAGCTAGATTACCCCTCCCATCGAGTGTGCTAAGATGGCGCTTATCTCCTGCTTGGTAAACAACCCGCCCTGTAAGATCTCCTGCTTCCTGCTTGGTAAACAACCCGCCCTGTAAGATCTCCTGCTTCACAACCCGCCCTGTAAGATAGTCTGCCTAGCAACAACTGATGTTAGCCAATCAGCCCGCATCGCGCGCTTTGAACTGATTGGCCACTGTATCCCTATAAAAGTGAGTGCCTCTCCCGCCACGAAAGAAGAAGCAGAAGAAGCAGAAGAAGCACAGAAGGAGCCGCGGAGAGCGGACCGGTAGAGGCTTCGGGACAGACTGTAGGAAGAAGCACGCAAGGAGCCGCGGAGAGCGGACCGGTAGAGGCTTCGGGACAGACTGTAGGGAGAAGCACGCAAGGAGCCGCGGGGAGCGGACCAACAGAGGCTTCGGCCGGGAGGATTCCCGGGGCAGGCTGTACGGAGAAGGAAAATAAAAGAAAAGGTTGTCCACTGCCAGACTTTGTTGTGTGTCCTTCTTGCCGGCCGGGAGTGACACCGACATCTGGTGGCCCGTATGGGGACTGATCACCCCCGAGACGTGGCAGTGGACAATGCTCCAACGCAGAGCTGCAAGACAGGTGAGTAGAGGATAAACCTGGGCCCTGGGTGGCGCGCACCTACAGGGTTTGTAGACTCCTCTCAGGCTCACGCGTAAGTGGTGGATTCCTTGGGCCTCACGCGGTGAGTAACATATTAAAAAATGGGAAACATGCTAGGTAGCGGCACTAAGAGTGAGGGTGGTTGCGGGGAAAGCTCTCAAGAGCTTACAAAAGTACGCAGGGTATTTGAGCAGGCCCAGTCAGGGAGCTCCCGAGAGGGGTCCGTCAAGGGGAACAAAGATGCTAAGGAGGAGGACGGGGCTCAAGCCTCGGAGTCGTCTGACTCCGAGGACGAGGGAAGGTTGAATGGTGAGGAGGCCAAAGAGACCAGCTGTCAGGGGCCTAAGTCGCTTGATGGGGAGACGCAAGGCTCTTTCGCTGCGTTGCGCCGCGAATTGCGCTCCGCTCAGCTAGGCTTACGAAAAAGCAGAGAGCTTCTGAGCGCCCCCTGGCAGGGGAGGGAGACAGAACCTTCTGCTCTGCCCTGGAACTCGTTCCCGGAAGCGGTCCCTCGCCGCGAGGCCGCCGCATGGGAACTCCCCCCTCTTCCGTCAGTACAGGAAATAACGCACAGGCCGCCATTTTCTGTTCAGCCACGGCCGCCATCTTACGATGCTCCGCCACCGGCGGGACGTTATTTCCACAGACAGCTGTGGCATGGGGGTCGTGTGTCTAATGAAGACCACCCGTTCCCAGGGATAGATAGCGGCCCCTATGGGATATATCCTGTACAGATGGCCATGGGTCAGGGACGTAATGTGTGGGAACCCTTTGAAATAAAGCAGATTAGAGAACTTAAAAATGCAGTTACAACCTTTGGGCCGACTGCGCCTTACACCATTGCCATGCTGGAGAACCTGTCTTCTGGGCCCCTCACCCCCGCGGACTGGACTCAGCTGGCAAAGGCGTGTCTGCCCTCGGGTAGTTACCTGGATTGGCGAGCCTGGTACGCCGAGTTCGCTGCCGAACAGGCGGAAAGAAACGCTAACCGAGGGAACAGGGGATGGAATAGAGACATGCTTATGGGGGAAGGCCAACACGCTGATGATCAGACTCAGTTCCCTGGTGCAGTTTATGAGCAGATCAATACCATTGGGCTTCGCGCCTGGAAGCAGGTGAGTGGTGCCGGAACGGCATCCTTGTGCCTTTCTAAAATAGTCCAGGGCACAACAGAGCCATTCCCTATGGCACAGGGGAATGCGGCTGCTGACACTGCCACTCGCCCGTTATGGATTTTTACCTTACTAACACCAATCGAGCGAGCCCGTGCCTTCCATGATAAGTTTCATGTCAATGCCAGGACACTAGCAAACCATTTCCATGTTCCCAGAGCAGATGCACGCGATATCGTGCGACTATGTGACTCCTGTGCCACATACAAACCTGCCATACCGATGGGAGTAAACCCTCGAGGTTTGATCCCTGGTGATGTTTGGCAGATGGACATCACACATATACAGGATGTTTCCACAGACACCTGTTCTCACGTCATATTTGCAACAGCAGAAACAGGTGAAAAAGTGTCTAATGTGATCAATCATTGCCTGGCGGCTTGGGCCGCATGGGGCAAACCAAAAATATTAAAAACTGATAATGGACCAGCCTATATAGGCAAAGCCTTCAATGAGTTCTGCAAAATGATGGAGGTTCAATTAAAACATGGTATCCCATACAATCCCCAAGGTCAAGGAATCATTGAGAGGGCTCATAGAAGCCTCAAAGAAATTTTACAAAAACAAAAAGGGGGAGTAGGCCAAGGCCTGGCCCCAAAGGCACGATTATCCATGGCACTATTCACACACAATTTTTTAAATTTAAATAATGATAATTGCTCCCCAGCTATGGAGCACTGCAACCCTTCCCCCAACCATAAAGGGTGGGTTAAATGGAAAGATGTCCTAACAGGACAATGGATGGGCCCGGATCCGGTGGTTAGCTGGAACCGAGGCGCGGTTTGTGTTTTCCCACAGGAACCGGGACGAGAACCACTGTGGGTACCGGAGAGACTGACACGGGCAACAAAGCCCTCGACTGAAGATCAGACCTGCCCTACCGGAGATCCATCACAGACCAACCAACAAGATGAATAGAAATAGCGGTAGCCCAAAATGGACAAAAAGATCCTCAGGCATATGCATGGCTCGCTCGCCTAGCCTACGACCGAGTCTAGGGGCGGTGAGCTTCCCACACTCCTCCTCTAAAAAATTATGACATAGCTGGGTAGGAGAGTCAATGACGGGTAAGAGCGTACTCCCCCGGTGCGACTCAACCTAAGCCAGGCCCTACCCCATCCTGCACGTAAGCCGCTGGACTGTTAGATGCTGCCCAGGTCTAAATTTCTCTCCGAGGGGATTTCTTTACGGAGAGGAAATGAGTGCAAGCTTGTGTGCATCCAGGTTCCGTCCAGTTTGTGCCTGGCCCTAGAAAAAGGACGAGGGCCTCAGGGCCTTGGCAGACCATGGGACGGCCGACCAGGGTCTAAGCCAAGGACCTACGGTGGGCCTACGCATAGGGCATAAGCCTCTGCACCCAGTCCAGGAAGGGCTATGATGCGCACATTCATAAAAAATAAAAAAGGGGGAGATGTTGGGAGCCGCGGCCGAGCCCGGTCGCCTTACTTGGCGGACGTGAGGCCTGTAGGAAAGAGCAAAGCCTGAGCTAGATTACCCCTCCCATCGAGTGTGCTAAGATGGCGCTTATCTCCTGCTTGGTAAACAACCCGCCCTGTAAGATCTCCTGCTTCCTGCTTGGTAAACAACCCGCCCTGTAAGATCTCCTGCTTCCTGCTTGGTAAACAACCCGCCCTGTAAGATCTCCTGCTTCACAACCCGCCCTGTAAGATAGTCTGCCTAGCAACAACTGATGTTAGCCAATCAGCCCGCATCGCGCGCTTTGAACTGATTGGCCACTGTAACCCTATAAAAGTGAGTGCCTCTCCCGCCACGAAAGAAGAAGCAGAAGAAGCAGAAGAAGCACAGAAGGAGCCGCGGAGAGCGGACCGGTAGAGGCTTCGGGACAGACTGTAGGGAGAAGCACGCAAGGAGCCGCGGGGAGCGGACCAACAGAGGCTTCGGCCGGGAGGATTCCCGGGGCAGGCTGTACGGAGAAGGAAAATAAAAGAAAAGGTTGTCCACTGCCAGACTTTGTTGTGTGTCCTTCCTGCCGGCCGGGAGTGACACCGACATAGCACAGTGGGAAAAAAAGGAGTTGTGTCACCCCCAGGGACAAATTCTCATGAGGAATGTGATCATTATGTATATCTAAAATGTACCAATAAAATCTGAGTGAAGAAAACAAATTTTAAGAAAGAAGAAAGCTCCTTCTGGAAGGTGACAGAGAGAAAAAGTGGTGAGGGGAGCTGCTGGGGGGCCAGGGGCGGGGTGACCAGCCCTGCAGGAAGGCAGGCACCAGGACCAAACGCAGGGCTCCACCGTGGCCCAGCGCTGGGCTTCAGCTAAGAGAGGGGCGTGGTGGGCCAGAAACTGACGCGGCCACTTTCAGGGCAGGGTGATAAGTGTGACGGTTTAGATCTAAAATGCACCCCAAAGTCTCATGTGTCCAGAGGTGGGACCCTGGCAGGAGACGGGGTTGTGGCAGTGGATTCATGCACTGAGGAGTTCACCGCTGACCACGGCGAGAAGGGGGCTTGTGTGGAGGTGGTCACCGGGGTACCTCTGCTTCCTGCGTCATGGGGTGAGCAGGTCTCCTCTCCACACCCTGGCACTGTGGGATGCTCCTGCCTTGGAGCCAGCTGGCCAGGGACTTAACCATGGACACCACAAGCCAGAAGAAAACTCCTCCTTCTGCTCCTCCTCCTGCTCCTCTTCCTCCTCCCGCTCCTCTTTTCTCCTCTCCTTTCCTCTCCCCTCCCCTCCCCTCCCCTCTCCTCTCCTCTCCTCTCCTTTCCAGCACTGGGAATGGAACTTCCTAAAGTTCTAGTTGTCAGGTATTTTGTCCCAGGGACAGCAAAGTGACTGAGACACAAGTCCAGTACAAGCTGTACCAAGTGGGACCCCACAACAGTCCTTGTGCCTTTGACCTATGGATGTCCACACGCTCCCCACCCTGATAAAGAATCTGTCTCCCAGACAGCACTGTCCCATTGGGAGAGATGTACTGGTACAGGAAAGCGCTTAGGATGCAGCAGGCGTGTGTATATACCCCTCCAAGAGCTCCCTGAGGCTGGTACTGCGTTAGCCCCATTTTACAGATGCAGAAGCTGAGGCTCAGAGAGGAAGGTAAACTGTCCCGTGGTCCCCATCTGGTAAGAAGCTAAGACCCAATCCTGACAGTTGCCCCATAGCAGGACCCACAGCCTTGGCACTGTGGACACGGGGACTATGGCATGTGCTTTCTGAGTTGGGCTGTCCTGGCACTGAGGGACATTGGGTGGCCAGTACTAGGGTCTCAGTGCTCAGCGGGAAAGAGTAAAGGCTAGGGCATCAACATGCAATAAGACAGGGTTGATGGTGAGGGAATGAGAGGGAAATGCTTCGCCCCCGCGGTGCCCCGTACCGGACCCTTTAGGGAACGTGTCATCGTACACACCTCATGGTGTGTTCACACAAACGAAGGAGCTGTATCCCCAGGTGATGGAGTCCACGGGATCACTGTCACACGGGCGCCCTGTGCTCACCAGCCAGAGCACCACGCAGCTTGTGGAGTAGCTCTCCGTCAACCGAGTGACCAAGGGTCGGGCTCAGTTCACCGAGACCTGAGAGTGACCGTAGGCACAGCTGGCTCCTCTGCTCCCTTCCCGGGGACAGAGACAGGCATCCCGGAGTGGAGTCTGCTCTGAGGGTCAAGGTCGCGGTCTGGGGGTGGCCCAGTGGCAAGGGAGGAGGCTCCTCTTCAGAA